AAAAGGAAAGAAAAATACCTTTTCCTTCTGGGCTTTGATGTTCTTTAACTGTGTTGTATTTTTCAGATTTCACGCTGGAAGGCGCTATAAAAACTCCATATCATCTGCCTCAGCTCCGAAGGGCTGACCAGTGTGCTAGCAGATGCCTGTCCCAACCTGGGCTGGCTTTATTACCAAAGAAATGAACAACACAAAGTTAGGTTTAAGCCTCCTTCCTCAGTTGGGCTGCTTCTCAGCTTCCTATCCCAGAATTGCTCAGCCTACACTCTAGATCCTCTCATTCCAGAGAGCCACTCCCTACTCCATTATGTCCAGGTTGGGTAAGAAGCCACCTGCCTCTGGTAGTCACAGCAGCGCCCTGTTACCCAGAATAATTTACACCTAGAACTGCAAGTGATCTATGGTACACAAGGGTCTGGGAGCAACACCAGCCCAGCGCGCCAGCCACCGAATATGCTTTTGAGAAAAGCTCTCTCGAGCAGTCTATACATATTACCTCTCACTTCTAGGTGTCAGGAATGGCTTAAACGTAGGTGCCATATTGACAGATGCTAAGCCTGGCCTTGTCCAATAGGATGAAAAGATAATGCCTGTATGTGATGATCGTTAAAGATAACAGACACCCTTCCAAAGCAGCCCAGTACACAAACTTCAATCTCAAGCAAGACAATTAATCTGGCAAATTTCTTAACTACGTATTTAAGTGGTTTTGTTTAAACTCCCTCTTATAAGGAACATTTCATAAGGAAGAGCCTTTCAAAGCCATTCGAAAATTAAATTCAAGCCAGCCTCAAGCCAGCTAGATCAACCTGCAGGGAGTAAGGGCAGACTCTGGCTATGAAATGACCTAATCAACTCTTTTTGTCCGGTAGGTAAATATTAGCTAGAGAACCCCAGCTGTGGCCAAAGAGAAATCGAAGCATATTCTCACAGTGGGAAAGGGAAGCAATTTCATAACAATGTCTGGAGTGCAAAGCTGGTATTAGGATTTCAAAGCAGGGAACGATTCCCTAGTAGTAATTTGAAGTTAGAAACATTAAATCAGCAAAAGAACACGTCTGTGTCTTAAGTCTCCAATGCACTAGTCATGTCAAATAACTGATAAAGCAAGGCAGGTTTAGACTGTACACCCTGGGACCAGGAAATTCACCACTGAATCTATGCAAAACTGTATAGGCCTGAGCCAGGAGCCTCACAAACTGAACAAACAATGGAGCAAGTGGCTGGAGTAGCACTAAGAAGTGGGTTCAGGGACAGTACTGTGAGTGCCGGGGGTGGGGGTATTGATTAAGTGCCGAAATAGAAGGACGATGGATGAAGATAAAAAAGGGCTGGTGTTTTGGGTGGGCTGGGGAGTGTCTGGCTCGACTGGTGCCTCTTGTTCATTGGATCAGATCCTCAATCCCTCAACAAAATCAGAAAATCCTCTTGTAAGAGAAACAGCCACCACAGACATTGTTCTGAAAACGCCCCTGTCTGGAACCGAGTAGCAGGCAGCCCATTGAGCGCTGTCAGTTATGAGCAACCACCTCACCCCTGAACAGGGCACAGAATCAGTGCGCGGCAACGCGCGCACACGGACACGTGCCCCGCGCACACGCCAGGCTCCCCGTGAGGTCCCTCTGAGCTGAGTTCAAGTCGACGCCGAGGGTATGTCTGCACTGCAGTTGCCACAAGCGGCACAGTCCTGGTGCTGCAGCGGCGCAGATGTTGCACCGTCACGTAGGTACCTCCAGCAACGTAGTATCCACCTCTCCGAGAGGCAGGAGCGAGGCTGACGGAAGAATCCTTCTGCCCACCTAGCCACATCCCCACCAGGGATTAGGTCGACCTGACGATGGCCATCCGGACGGGACATTCTGCACAGCCCTGAGCGACATAGCGAGGCTGACCTAAGTTTTAGGTGAAGCCCAGGCCACGGGACCGTTCAGGATTAGCACCAGCAGGGCAGTGCGGAAGGACCCGATCACAGGTCCTGGATTTCTCTGAAACAGGCTGAACTGACATCCAAGAGGAAGTGGGAACAAAGAGGCTCCTGCAGAGCTCTGCCTAGAGAGTATCCCAGCTGCAAACAGCTCAAGTGCAGGGGCCACCTGGGTGCAAATACACCCAATCTCCATGCAGTGTTGCTGGAGGCAGCCAGAGCATGAGGGTCTATCCGGGAGGGGGGGGGAGACGGACTAGTGTAGAGCTTGGAGATCTGGAGTGCCTGCTCTACCATCGACTCCCCATGTGACCTTGGGAAAGTCACTCAGTTTCTCTGTGCCTCAGCTCCCCCCCCTACACATGGGCTGGTGTGACGATAAATGCACTACAGATTACCAGATGCTGTGTCAGTAACTGAGACCCACAGCCACACACTGGTTTGGTATGGCTGCGGGCAGCCCGGGCTCCCAAGGGCCCTGTCTTTGGGAATCCAGCCAAACAAGTCGCTGCTGCCAGCATGTCAGAGTCAGAACTGGCAGTGTGATGGGATGGAGACCAGAGTCAAACAGGAACTGGAACGCCTCACCTATCCCTGGCCTCAGAAACACTTCAGGGGACTGACTGCTTAGTTCAGCTCACTCCATCCTTTCCCACGCAGAACAGTCAAACTCCAGCCCTGGCCACATGCTGGGCTCTCCAGCAATTGCATTAGCAACGTGCAGCTCTCTCCCTTCCCTTGGCACTGCACCTCCCTAGGCAGAGCACAACTAGAGGGCCTCACCAGCCCAGTCTCACCAGGCAGCAGACGGGCAGCACTTGTAGGTCAAGGAGAGCCCTCGCTTGAGGGGAATGCAAGGAAAGGTCAGAACTCAGTGTGATGACAGAGTGATATTGTTGGCAGAAATCAACCGGCAAGATGGGAGTGTGGCCAGCGAGTGAGAGCAATATTGCTAGTGGGCTTGGAGCAGTGCCAACAGGTGTCCTTTAATATTGCTGGCCCCTGTGGAATAGCTACTGCTATGCAAGAGCTCAGTCCCCAGGCAGAAAGCGAGAGAGCTGAGAGACCAAATAAGCCTGGGGGAATTCCAGGCAGGATTACACACAGCATTCACTCCGTTTGCCAGTCAGTCGGATATGCTCATCGCCAGGCAGCGTTGGCAGGGCCTTTGCTTTGGGCCACAGGGCTACGGAAATCCCATATTCTGCAGTCTCAGAAATAAGGCTGTGACATAAGACAGAAAAAGAGCAAGTCGTTTCCAGACCTACAAATGGTCTGTTGTTAGCCCTCAGGACTAACTATCTCCAAACAGGCACTCCTGGAGGTGATATGGGAAGAGCAGAAATGCAGCAATTCATGTGGTGGTTGACGTACACTTCTGAACTGAGCAGTCAGTGTGGGCAGGTGGTGCCCCCAGCTGGCCATAACCACAGTGTGACCAGTCACAATGGGTCAGAACCGCCCCCCCTTCATTCACAAAAGGAATTCAAAACACCCACCAAAACTCGAGTCTCCAGCCTTCACTGCTCCTAAGGGTCCTCCCTCCCTCCGGCCTGCTCAGCTCACACACTAGATCTTCTCTGCAAAGAACCACCCTCATGTCCTTTTATCCCCAAGGGGTAATGAACATTCTTTTCAGTGAGTCAGCACCATAGGTTTTACTTCCCCAGCAGGATCATCACCTGCTGACAGGGCTCGGGGGCGTGCAGCTAACGCTGCAGCCTTTTACAGACCCTTGTCCATAATGTGCTGCCCTGTCTCACCATCATCCTTATTGCTGGTACTCCCCCCCCGTGCAGCACAAGGGAGGGAGCTACTGCAACTGCTCCACTGCCAAAGATTGGATGAGGGTAGCACTGCGTGGGTAACTGGTCAGTGTCACACACACACACAGCTCACGTGGCCAGCCCAGCCGCACCAATAGCTAGGGGGCAGTGAGAAGTGACACTGCCAAGCAGCGCTGATTGACTGCTACCCGTCAGACAATCACAGCCCAATGAGACGCCAATTGCGCACTTGGGGCTAAGGGCAGTGTCTGAATGAGGAAGCTGCCACTATTTGTACATTTTATCCCCAGATTCACAGATTTTACGGCCACGAGGGATCATTACGATGCTCTAGTCTGTCCTGCACAGCACACGGAATAGAATTTTACCTAGTGATTAATCCCACAACTTCTGGTTGAACTTTAAAAGAGGTGAAATGATGATGCAACCCTCTAAATGAAAAGCAAACAAAAGTTATGCTTCCAGCTGATCCCTCTGGGCATAGATTTCCAAGGGGCTTCTGAAAGAGGCAGATTAATACTGAATAATAATGGCTGGAGCATCTCTGTTTGAATTTTCCACGCAGAGTCAGCTTGGAGGTTGGAGTTTTTTGCTAATTTGTTTTGTTTAGAGGACTTGAAAATGTTACTTTTCAAAAAGGTAAAAAGAAAAACTCCAGGAAACCTAGCAGTTCCTACATGTTTCCGAAATTATGTTTTCTGATACTGTGGAAACAAGTCACGCAGTAAATAAAGACGATGTAACTTCTCAAAATGGAGGTAAGTGATCTGATGGACCAGGATGTTCCTCCAGAGTAATTTATTAATGTCTATACTATGCACATGGCAGACATTGAGAGCTCTCAGGCTACCATGGACTGAGTACTTGACTCACCACATGTGGGGAACAACACACAGTACTGAACAGGGAGATAACAGCAAGTAGAGCTAGAATGGCATCTGCAATAAATGAGGACCCTGGTAGAGCTGACAGGCCTGCGCACACAACATCCTCCCTCCCCACTATGCCTGCAGTGATTATTGGTTGAGTTTAAACTGTGGGTCTTCAGTGCTAAAAGTACAAGACCCTCTCACTTGTGCTAATCAAGAAACTCCATTAGCTGGCTACTCTAATAAACTCTTATTTACTGGTGTGGGAGGAGAGGACAAAGACACACTCCTGGTGCAGGTGGCTAGAGACACTATCCAGTTTAATGTGCACAGACAGTGCATACAACATTGATGCACAATACCTGCATAGATCTCAACCCATCTGAAGGCCAACATGTCTCCCCTGCAGCAGATACTCACAGTTGTCGCGTACTGAATATCCTTCCAGATGGAGGTTTCCCGGGAAATGTCCGAGGCCTCAAACAGGTTCTCCAAGATAACCTCCCCTATCATGTCATGCCTGGAGAACCTGTCAAAGTCGAAGACACTCAGGTGGAGTTTCCTGCTAGTCAGCTCCTCATAGGGCACAGGGAAGTGGAAGGACTCATCGAAGGTGGGGTTCAGAGTCTTCCTGTGGACTCGCGTCTGGAACTTGCGCTTCCTGTCAGGCAGGAGGTAGATCTTGACGTAGGGGTCTGAGCTGCCACAGAAATCCTTGGCTGGCAGGTCAAAGGCCTTGAGGATCCGCACAATCAGTGTCTCATTCTCATAGTCATATTTGAGGGTGAAGTTTATTTTCCCACAGGTTTTTGCCGCCTCCTTCTTGGGGTCCTCAGAGTCCACAGACTTTTGCTTATAAAGCTCTGGTTTAATCCTGCCAATGCTGGTTGGCTGCTCGGCCTCAAGGGGCAGGTCTGTGCCATAGTCCATGCTGGACACGTGCATCTGCCGAGGCAGGTGCCTCTTGAAGGAAATGTGCCTGCAGGGGAAGAGGACAGTTGTACACTTTGCCTGGCGCATTCACACAGCTCCCTCCCAAGATGAGCCCAAGCAGAGCTGGGAATGGGAGAAAGAGGGGAACAGGTGCTCGTGCTGTCTGTGGGGAACCTCTGAGCTGGTTATGGGCTAGGGGCATTAGGCTCTCTTCCTGGATCTGCAATGGAAACATCCCAGCCTAGCTTGCAGAGGTGCCGCCTCCCATCTCACACACAGAGACGTGCCTGCGACTGAGGAGCCCAGATAACAAGCAGACACCCAGGGTCCTTCCAGTTCTCATTTGTTCTCCTTCCATGCCCCTGTGACACAAATGAGAGCAAATACTCTGTGTCCAAGCCAGAGCCCATAGGCCGGGGAGACTCTGCAGCTCTCTCGCCCTTTTCCATTGCCAGACCCTGGCACTAAACTTCCTTCCCCTCAGAATTCACAGAACTGTGAAAGCCAGGCAAGCAGAGGCAGGACTAGCTAAGATGGCTGCCTTCGGGCCCCTGCTGCACCCAGACCTCCCCAACAGATGCCAATCGGGTAGTGGGTCCTCATCTCGCGTGGAAGCTGCTCCAGCCCCAGGGGACCTCAGCATTAAAAGCATTTCATGCTACTTCAGATACATTTTTCATGTTTCCCTCTGACAGGAAGGGGCTCAGAGAGGCCCTGCTGATTTCCCAGTACAGGTTCTCTGTGCTCTAGCAGGATGCTGCTGTTGTTATTCACTTTAATGGTCTCTGCAGGGCTGCAGAATCTCCCCCTGCGTGAGCTGAGTGGCTCCTCTCAGTTCTTCCTTTTGCTCTGTAGCTAAAAACTGAGAACTCAAGGAGCCCCCATTCCCTGCCTGATCACCCATAACCTGCCTCACTCCCAAAGCTGGGCCTGCACCACACAGTGCTGAGCCTGCCAGTTGCCCGGTGGGGTGTGAGAGGCCATGTGAAAGCATGGCAGGATCCCCTGGGGCAGCAGCCTAGGTACTGCTGAATCATTGGGGCAGGTACAGCTCATTAGACTTTCCCCGAATACAAGGGGAGGGGGCAGCACCCCTCTGGCAGAGGACTCTAGGGCCTGGGGACTGTGGAGCATCCAAGAGAGGGGAGAAGGCTGACACTGGGGGTCATGTAGCTTGGCTTTGGAATTACCCTTCCTTAATATAGCAGGCCCCGAGGAAGATGAACTCAAACTGGAAGCGGTACCAAGAAGGGCTACTAGATGACAAGGAGGATGGAGAGCTTGGCGGGTTTAGCCTAGCAACACAACGGCTGTCAGGGATGCGACTGCTGCCTGTAAGCACATCGGGGTAAACACCAGGGAGGGAGAGGCGCTGTTTAAGTGAAGGACGGTGTGGGCACAAGAACTAATGGCAATGAACTGGCCATGAATACATTTAGACTGGAAATGAGAAGCTGGTTCCTACCCATCAAAGGAGGGAGGCTCTGGAACAGCCTCCCAATAGGAGCAGTGGGGCCAACCAGCTAACCAGCTTTACGACGGCTGTTAGCGATGCATTTATGAACAGGGTTATGTGACAGGGCTGCCTGTGAGAGCAGGGAACTGGACTCAGGAGGGCTAGGGGGAGTTTTGACTTGGCAGTGAGTGTGTCGTGGTTGTGTGGAGCTGGATGGGGATCTCACCAGGCACTAGGAGGGTACAGAATGAAAATGTGCGTGCCTGGCATTCAGCTAGCACAGGAAGGAGCGATTTGGAAATAAATCCAAGAACAATCCCTGCTCCAGCACTTGTCTCTACCCTACCTGCAGCCTCAACACCCACAGCAGCTGGACCTGCTACAGAGACGTCTCATGTGCCTGATTTGATCATTCAGACCCATCCACATGCATTAATTAGGGATTCAAGAGGATACTCAGCTATGCAATACTCAGTACAGGGAAGCAGCCCCAGGGCAGCGAATCAAACAAAGGAGGGCAGCGTTAGCAGCTTGATCTCTGGTTTTGATGTGGCACTTAGGGGCCAGAAATGATGTGACAGGACGATGATTAAAGTGCACAAAAGAAACAGGGCTGCTACCCAGGGGGCCTTCTCCACTATGCAAATCTTGGAGCCCAGGTGAATTTTGAGTGTGTTACCACAAAGGCCAACGTGCTGTGTCTCTTTCTTGGAGGTTTGTACATGATTTTTTCCATGCAGTTTTGTACCTCCGTACATCTGAGGAAGGTGCAAGAGGGAGATGAGTGACGATAACACATCCGCACCATTATCCCAAATACCCCTCTGTAACTCAGGGTGCAGTGAAATGTTTGCCAGTGGAGTCTGACACAAATTCCTGTTTAATTTTTTTCTCTGTTGCATCTTGGGGGTGAATTTAATGATGCAAGTGACTATGAAAAACTAGCAGGGCTGGCATACCGTCGGCAGGCCCCGGCAAGCTGTCCCCACACACACAGCCTGACCCAGCTTTTACCCTCTCTTGTGCATGAAAGGTGCTGGAGAGGCAGAGCGTGTGTGTGTTTGTGTGTGCACAGAGAGGGGGGTCTGGGCATGTGTGCAGTGTTTGTGTGTGTGTGTGTGCACATGCTGCACGTGTGTCATGTGTCCATGTGACTGAGCTGCCCGAAAAGCAATGCAATGGTCACAGACAAAGCCTGGCATAATTCCAGCTGTCACAAGCTGAGCTTTAGTTCCCCTTCAAACGGGAGACTGAGATGTGTGTCTTGTATGCTGGGCGCCAATGCAAGCAGAGTTCTGAGCAACAGCTGCCTGCACAGTGGTGCTGCCCACCTCACTGGGGTTGTGGCCAGCACTTCAGCCAGAAGCATGGACTCAGCTCCCTGCCCTTGTTTCCCAGACTCTGGACACAGGGAGAATTTTTGGATTCTCCCCCAGACTAGCCATCCAAGGCCCATGCATCTCACCTCTAATGTTAATGACTCTCATGCACAGGCCTTTGGGCTGCGGCTGGGGCAGCAATGAGCCATTGATCAGGGGCACTGGCATGCAGCTACTCCTACGCCTGGCCAGCAAGTGATACTTCAATTCTGTTTATCCAGTGAGTCCTGCTGTGAGCCAGAGAAGCAAGAAGAGAGCAAAGGGGTCTAATTCTATCTGACAATATACCAATCCTTCCCTCGCCCTGTCTGTGCTGTCACAAAATTAAAGTGGCCACAAGCATATTGACAGCTTGACACAATGAGGGCAAGTCACAGTAACAGGGTTTGAATCTTTTACTTTTAATCAAGAGCCTATCCTAAGATTAATACGACAGCTGGTTCAAAACCAAACAAATCTTTGGCAAACGCTCCAGCATGGGGATGGGTGTATTTCCTCCACCCCCCTCGGTACATCTCCCCTCAGGCTCAGACATAGTTCTTACATATTGAACAACAAATAATTATTAAGAACACACCCAAGGCAAGCCAGTTGCCGGAAACTAGAGGTACGTGTTATCACACATTCTCAATAATCAAACAGCATTGAGCCCAGGGTATAACTACCCTGTTGGGTGTAAGTTAGACACGTACACATATCTAGGGTCGCTAGTGTAGAGTGATATAATATCTGATTCCTTGTGAGTTAGTTAATAACCGTTTTGGAAAGTCTGACTTCCCATTGCTGAGCTCCAGGACTGATCAGATGGGATGAATCATCCAGGCTAAACTTGAACATGAAGAACGCCCCCGTTACACATCATGGGGATTCTTTCAGGGGCCCATGGAGCCCCTCTGGTTTAGGCACAGAAGCCAAGAAGCTGCAGGCTGTACTCTAGCTTTTAGGGCTTCTCTCTAGCGCCAGGCAGACATTAGAAACAATAAAAGAAAAGGAGGACTTGTGGCACCTTAGAGACTAACAAAATTTGAGCATAAACTTTTGTGAGCTACAGCTCACTTCGTGAATGCATCCGATGAAGTGAGCTGTAGCTCACGAAAGCTTATGCTCAAATAAATTTGTTAGTCTCTAAGGTGCCACAAGTACTCCTTTTCTTTTTGCGGATACAGACTAACACAGCTGCTACTCTGAAACTAGAAACAATGGTTCGCTTTTGTTGGCAGCTCAGTGCCACTTACTACTGAACTTCCAGAGACAGCGTTTCTCCCCTATGGAAAGGCACCACCTGGTAAATTTAGTTGAAGTCATTCCCAAGGAGTAGTGCAGTGGGAGCGGTCTTGGGGAACATGGGCTGGGACATACATGAGGGATATAGAACCTAACAGCCTCTGCCCACAGACCATGTCAATGGATACCAACAGCATCTCTAATCCTCTCTTGGTTTGCTGGCCAGGCTCCATTCTTCTTCAGCCTGTGCTCAGGATTACTGTACCTTCTGTAAATTCAGGGAACAACATCTCCCTGAGAAACCCAACCTCCCCCCAACAGTTGCTAACTCCATCCTTGACCACCTCCTGGAAGAGTAGGCAAATAGTCTTTGACCAATGGCCAACAACGCAGCTCCACCTCCAGCCACCAGGAGGTGCTGTATTAACAAGGAAACTTACATCTCTTCTATGTATGGGGCAAAACTGTCTCTTCTTGCAGGCTCATGCTAGTAAGAATCCAACCGAAGCCTGAACTTACGCCTCTTGCTTTAAGTGCCAGCAGTCGCCAAGGTGTGGGGTGTCTGGGAAGGCCTGCAGATCAGCCCAGGTATTGCACAGCTTCTTAAATGCAAGGCTCTCAGAATGTAAATGGAAAAGCCATTTCAGCCAAGCTCGTGGCGCCAATCTGCACAGACCCACGCGGTCTCCATGCTGCACGGAGCACAGCACTGCACTCACCTGGTGGACGATGCTGGCTCTGTTGTTTGCCTCTGTAGCCGAGCGTGCCGCATGATATGGTCTTTCATGGACATCTGGACCTCGGCTGGGATATCCGGCGAGGTGTGGCTGATCTTCACAGCTGCCTCCAGGAAGCCAAGCGTGCCTGTGTCCTTTAGCTTGTCTGCCATGGTCTCCTGGTTGCAGGCCGCCTCGCTCTGGGAGACGTTAGAAGAAATGGCCTTGTTCCTCCAGGGCACCCAGCACAGCTTCCAAAAGAGAAAGAGAAAAACTGCCACCAAGGCGAGGCCACACACACTAACTATCACTGCAAGGAGGCTGATGGAGAGCTCTAAGGGCAGGAGAGGTGAGGGTGACACACAGGAAGGGAGCAGGAGGGGCAGGGAGGGAGAAGAGAAAAGAAAAGAAAAGAAAAGATGGCTGTGAGAAAGCTGTAAGGTAAAATGAGAAGATGGTCCAAGCTGGCTTGTCTTGTCTCTACACCGGGCCCTGCAGTTCTGTGCGTGACCGCTGAACACGCACAGGTCCCCTGTCAAGCGCTGGACTCAGACAGACTGAGTCAGCAGAAGGGGCAGGGACGAGAAGGAGCAGGGGCTGCAAGGCTACCAGGCAATAGCGATCTCTGCTGTGAATGGTTCAGAACGCTCAGATTCAGGGGTAAAACTACATTTGATCTGGCTCATTGGCACTGTCAGATATTGAGTTTGCACTTGGGTTTGTGTCCCTAGCAGGCCGCTTAGCCGCAAGCCTGACTGCAGAACTGCGGTGGGACCGAGCTTTAATAAACCACCCTGGAGACGCACCTTTCTGCTGTTATGGCAGAACGTGCCTTCTACTGCAAAACAGGGGCTTTCTGATGTGCTATTAAAAACCCACTGCCATGACTCTCAAAGGCAGGCTGGTTATTGGCCTATTAAAGTGCACCTTCCATCCAGTTGTGCTCATGGAGAATACAAAACCACAGGCTGCTGACACAGTGAAATCAAATAGAGAGGGAGGTTTTATAGCAGGCAGTACATGTTCTCCCCTGCATTAAATAAAACAGACAAACCCAAAGTGAAAGCTGACACTGTCCTCTGGCTGCTTGGTCATTTTCCCTTATATGGTGTAGGTTTCAGGTTTTAAATCTCTTCTCTGGAGAGGAAAGAGGGTTCATAGCAATAGTGGAAGAATCATGAAACAAATAAAGAGCATGCACATGACATGGTGTTTAATAGGATCCACAATATCTCAGAACAGGATAGGACAGTTTATTTTTACATCACTTTTTGCAGCATATTAATGGACAAATCACTGATATAACATCGTAGGAAGATTCCTCCCCATAGCCTAGATTCTGGCACTTTGGCATATATGAAGAAGAGACGGCCCACTCAGCATCGACGTGTGCCCTGGGACTTTGGGAGCTGAGGTAGGTCTGTGCACAGAGTTGCAAATAACCGTTTTGGTAGTTTGGGATTTGAGTACACAACTGCAGATTTGTTCCCCTGCCTAGCTGTGCAGCTTAGTGACCATTAAAGCTATATTCCAGGATCTAGCCAAGACTCTCAGGTGCAAAATGGGTAACAGAAAAACAGGCAAAAAGGGAAAAATCTCAATGTTCCAAAATGTGGTCCGAAGTGAAACTGTGCCCCCTGTTGTCCTGTGTCCGTGCAGACAGTTGGGCCATGGGTTGACATGCAGAAAATAAAGCTCACACCATCAGTACCCAAAGCTCTCAAGAACCTGGGTTGCCACAGTTTTGTTAAAAGAAAAGGAGGACTTGTGGTACCTTAGAGACTAACAAATTTATTTGAGCATAAGCTTTCATGAGCTACAGCTCACTTCATCCGATGCATTCAGTGGAAAATACAGTGGGAAGATTTATATACATACAGAACATGAAACAATGGGTGTTACCATACACACTGTAATGAGAGTGATCAGGTAAGGTGAGCTATTACCAGCAGGAGGGAGGGTGGAGGGGAAGAGGGGACCTTTTGTACTGATAATCAAGGTGGGCCATTTCCAGCAGTTGATAAGAACGTCTGAGGAACATCTATATCACATTGGTAGATGTGCAGTGTATTTTCCACTGAATGCATCCAGTGAAGTGAGCTGTAGCTCACAAAAGCTTATGCTCAAATAAATTAGTTAGTCTCTAAGGTGCCACAAGTACTCCTTTTCTTTTTGCGGATACAGACTAACACGGCTGCTACTCTGAAACCTATGCCTACCTACATGCCTCCAGCTTTCATCCAGACCACACCACATGATCCATTGTCTACAGCCAAGCTCTACGATACAACCGCATTTGCGCCAAACCCTCAGACAGAGACAAACACCTACAAGATCTCTATCAAACATTCTTACAACTACAATACCCACCTGCTGAAGTGAAGAAACAGATTGACAGAGCCAGAAGAGTTCCCAGAAGTCACCTACTACCGGACAGGCCCAACAAAGAAAATAACAGAACACCACTAGCCATCACCTTCAGCCCCCAACTAAAACCTTTCCAGCGCATCATCAAGTATCTACAACCTATCCTGAAGGACGACCCATCGCTCTCACAGATCTTGGGAGACAGGCCAGTCCTTGCTTACAGACAGCCCCCCAACCTGAAGCAAATACTCACCAGCAACCACACACCACACAACAGAACCACTAACCCAGGAACCTATCCTTGCAACAAAGCCCGTTGCCAACTGTGTTCACATCTATTCAGGGGACACCATCATAGGGCCTAATCACATCAGGCACACTATCAGAAGCTTGTTCACCTGCACATCTACCAATGTGATATACGCCATCATGTGCCAGCAATGCCCCTCTGCCACGTACATTGGCCAAACTAGACAGTCTCTACGTAAAAGAATAAATGGACACAAATCGGACGTCAAGAATTATAACATTCAAAAACCAGTGGGAGAACACTTCAACCTCTTCGGTCAGTAGATTACAGATCTAAAAGTGGCAATTCTTCAACAAAAAAACTTCAGAAACAGACTCCAATGAGAGACTGCTGAATTGGAATTAATTTGCAAACTGGATATAATTAACTTAGGCTTAAATAAAGACTGGGAGTAGATGGGTCATTACACAAAGTAAAACTATTTCCCCCTGTGTATTCCCCTCCCCACACTGTTCCTCAGACGTTCTTGTCAACTGCTGGAAATTGATAACCTTGATTATCACTACAAAAGGTTTTATTCCCCCCCCCGCTCTCCTGCTGGTAATAGCTCACCTTACCTGATCACTCTCATTACAGTGTGATGGTAATACCCATTGTTTCATGTTCTCTGTGTATATAAATCTCCCCACTGTATTTTCCACTGAATGCATCGGATGAAGTGAGCTGTAGCTCACGAAAGCTTATGCTCAAATAAATTTGTTAGTCTCTAAGGTGCCACAAGTACTCCTTTTCTTTTTGCGGATACAGACTAACACGGCTGCTACTCTGAAACCTGTCAGTATTGTTAAGGTATTTACAGAACTAAAATTAACACTTGCTGAATACCACAAACCCAATCAAGCCATCGAGATACTCGAAGGAATATAACAGAAGCATCTGCTGGACGTTCAAACCATCTGGTGTGAAGTGGAACTAACGAGACCCACTGGGTACCTGCCTACTTTCCCCACACTGCACTGCGGGGCAGACTCTGAGCTCCTTGCCCAGTTCTCTCGAACCATACCTGTGTGAGGAGTGCCAGGCCTCTGCTCTACCAAAGGGGCCAGCACAATGGAGCTCAAACCAGCTCCAGGAAGCAAAGAGACAGAGGCATTCATTGGTTGGAACAGCCCTTGAGAGAGCAACCATAACTGTGGCCACCCCTGGGCAGGACTCTCCCGCTCTCCCAGGACAGGTGTTGAGGGAAGAGAAGGAATGATGGAAAGAGGGAGAGACGGACTGGGACGGATAATGACAAGAACAGGTAAAGAGACACCCTAGGAGGAGGGCAGGTGAGTACAATGTCTCAGGGAAGGAGCAGAGTATACAGAGGTTGTAACAATAAACAGGAGAGTTGCACAGAATAAAGAGACGTGAGGACAGGACACAGAGAGCAGCTGGATGGGAGAGCTGGGGCTGATCAGAACCCTCCCTGCCTACAGTCCCAGTTCAGGGTTTTATTTTCTGCTACCGCTGGGCTTGTCACACACAATGGAGAATCCGGAGAGTGTGCTGTTTTCAAACCAGCCTTTTCATTGCTGGTTGAGATTGAAGTGCATTGGTAGAAATTTATTTATTTGCTATTTATTTGCTATTTTTTACAATTGGCATAAATGTGTATGAGTGTACAATACCTGTTTGCACTATGCCTAAATCTAGATAATGCCAACCACTTCTCACTTTCATGAGCTCTAAAAGGTTCTTAATTCACCCCAAAACTGCAATTTAAAAATAAATCACTCCAAACCTGTTATTGGGCAGCTGAGCCTTTATCAGACAATCCAGGCAACTTGCATCTGTTCTTCATTGCAGCTGTTATAGAAATAAGCCTTGAAATATATCTCACCATAAAATACAAGGTCTTTCCATGAGTTCTATTCCCTTTGATTCTATGTTTTACTTTAGATCTAGCCATAATTAGATCTTTGATGTTAAAGGCTAGAAAAAAAATCTATAAAAAATGAAGGGGGTTTAAATGTTCATATTGACAAAACACCTGAATCTAAAAATGAAATAAAGAAAATCACTTTGTTGGCATAATGAGGGAACCTGTTCATATTGTTAGCTGTCGCTGGCTTGCTATTTGGGAACACAACTGCTATTGGATCTACATGATTTTTAACATCAGTTGAAATAAACAAACAATTCTCAAACAAGTGTCATATATACACAATGTGACATCTGGATATCAATAAGCTAGCGCCACTGAGGTAAAGAAACCTCTTCAGGAGATACAGCTTTTTGTGGTTCCCAGTGTTCCATGTATCTTAATTGTATTAACACCTAGGAGCTGCATCCCAATTGCATTAACTATCTAGGTTGCAGGCTGTCTAGGAGAGCTGGGGAAAGCTTCTTTGCTACCTACAGGTTAATTGCCTTGAAGGAGGCATGTAAAAGCTGCCAGTGAGTGAAGGAGCAGGACGTGGAGAGAATAAGCACCCACCTCCCACCTCTCTGAATACTGGAAACCTCCTGCACTCAGCTACTCTCCTTCGGCAGCCCCATGAACAGTCCATGTCTGAGTCAGATTGTACAGATTATCTTATTCAAGCCACTGCAACCAGAGCCTCGGGAGAAAGGGCATGTCATGGGCTGGTGAGTGAATGGGTTTAGTCTCATTTAATAATAAACAGAATTGCAAGACAGATGGCGGAGCTTCCTAGGAGACTTGGCTAATT